TTTAAGTTAAAACAAGAAAAATCTTAAATAAAAAAAAGAAAAACAAATATAATGAAATTCTAAATTAAAAAAATATATATTTTTGTTTTTAAAACAACAATATCTAAAAATTAAACAAAATTTTAATTCAAAAAGAAACAAAAATTTATTAATAAAAAATTAAATTTAAAAAACTATTTTTTCATTTTAAAACAATTAAATGAAAAATTAGATACAAAATAAATAAAAAGAAACAAATAAAACCAAAAAATTAAGAAAAAATTAAATAAAATAAAATAAGTTCATAAGATTTAATTGAAATTGCAAGAACTTTGTTTTTAAATAATTATCTAAAAATTCAAAGAAGCTTAAATTGAAACAAAAAATCATAAATTAAAAAAGATAAATGAAAAAATCTTTAAAAATTGGATGAAATTAAAAAAAACACATAACATTTTTAAAACAATATCTAAAAACTAAAAGTAAATTTAATTAAAAAGAAAAAAAAATATTTTTATTGAGCTTTATACCACGATTATTTTATTAGGAAAAATGGAAAAAGCAACAAAGTCTAAGCGGTAGCTCAGTGGTTAACGCTTCTGACTTTGCACATCGATGACGCGGGTTCGATCCCTGCTGAAGTCTAGAAAAAAAAGTCTAATGAGGAGATGAGGTGATGAGGTGATCTCCGAAATAGCTGCTATAACTTCTACCGCTTAGACTTTGTTGCTTTTTCCATTTTTCCTTATAAAATAATCGGATTATAAAACTCAATAAAAATATTAAAAATAAATGTTAATAAGCCACAATAATATTGCCAAAAAAAATAAAAAAATTATTAAAAATGTAAGTTTTTAAAGAAGAAGCAATTCAAAAAACAATTTTTTTTTTCTTAAAAAAAAATAAAATCAAAGACTAAATAAAAAATAGATAAAAATAAGAGAATTAAATATAGTATTTCTCATGAAATAACAAAAATGTGTCCTAAACCACGCGTCCATCCCCTCTAAAATGGAGTGAAATATTTTTTATTAAAAAAGCTAAATTCGACCTACCAAATCGGTGATGGTCTATCTCTTTATAATGGGATATATGTATATGTGTTTACCACAGATCCGGTTTCTGCACATAAAAATACAAAACGTCTTTGGGAGACTTTTTTTCTGGAACGAAATTGCGCTTAAAACAATGAACTTCCGGTTTGTTTACCCCACTTCCGGTCTAAGCCGGATATCGGTAATACGACCGAAAAATTCCACGATTTGGTAATTCATATCTTTCGGTTTTCACTAAAAACATTTTCACTCGTTTCAGACGTCCCAGGCGCGTGTTGAGGCTCACAGGATTTAGAGGTTGAAACAGACACTTCCTAGAAAAAGGTTTCAAACAAAAGCACCGTATTTTTATCCTCTGAACACGAATCAGTAGTAAAAACAGGTACACTCACTCACTAGAATATGTTTCCGTACAGTGTTTTTTTTTTAATATTTGCAATGTTTTTCGTAATGAATTTTTTTAGAAATAGAAATATACAGCCCTGTTCTGCATTTCGACTCATTTTGAAAAGTAAAACGATACACATACTATCTTTTGTGGTGGTGTTCTCAATTCCGAGTGAGATCGAACAAGTTCGAAATCGTTTTCGAATCGTTTTCATTTCGATTCGGTAATAAAATGGAACAGCTGTTGTCAGTTATTTGTGTAAAATTAATTTAAATCTAAATAAAATTGATAAAATGCCAGCGCCAATGATTTTTGGGTGTGCCGAGGCAAGAAGGCGTGTTATTAAACGCTTAAAACAAAAAAATCGTCAGCTAAGGATGCATGTGGACATATTTCAAAAGTTGGATTCCAAGCAAGTTTACCCTTCAATGCAATTTTCTTTGTCTAACTTGATATGTACATACTTTTTAGGTTTATAGAGTCTTATCGCGTAAACAAAGAAGTTTTCAAAATGCTATTAGATAAAATAGGAAATAGGTTAGCGAAAAGGCATCGCTTTATTACACCGACTACGCAACTGGCAGCCACACTTCGGTTTTTAGCAACTGGCTCCTATCAGTTGGGGATTTCTAAAGACCAAGATATCAACATAGGCAGAAGCACCTTTTCCAAGGTATTGCACTTTGTTGTACAGGAGCTGGAGAGCTGCCTTTGTGAAGAATTCATTCTGCTGAAGATGTCGCCCGCGGATATGAACTCATCAAAAGGACATTTTTATAGGGAATTCAATATTCCCGGTGTCATTGGGTGTGTGGATGGAACACACATAAAAGTGTCAAAACCAAGAGATGACGAGTCTCTGTTTTTTAATAGGAACGGATATTTTAGCATAAATGCAATGGTGGTAAGCTGTTAAATAATAAACAATTTTCTTTGTAATAAAAACACGTAAATATTTATAATATTAACAGATTTGTAATTACAATATGGAAATAATGGCAGTAGATGCGAGCCACCCGGGTTCATGTCATGATTCATTTATTTGGAATCAGAGTTATGCAAGGCAATTTTATAGCAACAATCGCGCTCAAAATACTTGGATTTTGGCAGATTCCGGCTATGCCTTGGAAACCTTCGTAATGACGCCATATAGGAACCCACAGCATGGATCAATAGAACATGCTTTTAACAAGAGACATGCCTCTGCTCGCAACATAATTGAGCGTACAATCGGTTTATTAAAAAGCCGATTCCGATGTTTACAAGGAACTCTTCAATACGAACCAAAGTTTGTTACTCAGCTAATTAACGTTTGCTGTGCGCTACACAACATTTGCCGCAGGCGTAACATACAGATGAATGAAGAAGATGGCCATGATCAGGAAATGGCAAGTAGAAATTCTGAAGACGAGAGCGACAATGATTATCAGCCGGCTGTAGATGGAGTGGAATTGAGGGATGAAGTGGCCCGCGGTTTACAAATCTAATTTTTGAAATATTTAAATTCATAGTCGCTCACAGAAGTTTTCGTAATTTAGTTTTACCACAATATTCACAATATTTTGCATCATAAATCTTCTTCGTTAACTTTTATTTAAAATATACCTCATTCTATAACAAAAACCATATAAATCAATCTTGCAAACTTTGTACAAAATTAACAAACATTAATCAAACTTTAAGGTAATTGTATCAAAACTTCAAACTTTTTATTCAATATATTGATCTAAATTTCGCGTAGGCAGTTTTGTAGCTCATTCAATTTTAGTGCAACGAAGTGCAAGTTTCAAGTAGCTAAAATTTACCTTTGATTTTTTAGATTTTTTTTTGTAGAGACTGTAGCACATTTTCTTCCATATAACGCATGAACAAAATCTATCTTTATATGGAAGACAAAAAAATTATAAAAAATCAAAGGTAATTTTTAGCTACTTGAAACTTGCACTTCGTTGCACTAAAATTGAATGAGCTACAAAGCTGCATATGCGAAATTTAGATAAATATATTGAATAAAAAGTTTGAAGTTTTGATAAAATTACCTTAAAGTTTGATTAATGTTTGTTAATTTTGTACAAAGTTTGCAAGATTGATTTATATGGTTTTTGTTATAGAATGAGGTATATTTTAAATAAAAGTTAAGGAAGAAGATTTATGATGCAAAATATTGTGAATAATGTGGTAAAACTAAATTACGAAAACTTCTGTGAGCGACTTACAGTAGGCGACAAAAGTCTACGTTCAGAGAATTTTTCAAAAGTTTTTGACTCAAATTTCTTTTCGCCTATTTTTTACAAAAGTATAGCTCATACTACTACAAAATTATAAAAATAACATCTCTAAACTTTGTGCACAAATCAGGAAAATTCAATACATTTGCATACTTTTTATTTAAGTTGTTTAGAGAAGTTTTGAGTATGCAGTTTTGTACCCCATTAAATTTCAATATAACAATGTGCAAGTTTCAAATGTAAGTTGTTGATTTTTAATATTTTTATTGAGCTTTGTACCACGATTGTTTATTAGGA